AGAATTTCGGCGCGATCATATCCGTGTGTGTGGACAGATGCTTGCTTTGAAGATGAGCGTATGTTTGCTTGTTGTTTTTGGTACGAGCAGTTGCAGTTGACACGTGTTCTCACACAATTCGAATTTTGAAGGATCAAATATTGCGAATAAATAAATAATATTTTCTTATATGTATATGTTAAGTCTGCGTAAGTTTTTCAGCTGGAGAAACGCGTTGCTACATGAACGCGTCAAAATTCCCGTGTCGAAAAAAAAAAAAAGTGGGCAATATCGACATTACAAGTGGCTGTCATAAAATTAAGACTTAAAATGCCAAAGTTTAGTCACTGTGTTGGATTGTATTTTCGTTTTTTCTTTTTCGTTCTCAAGCCATATCACTAACTGAGGCGATGGAAATGTAAAAAACATGTCCTTATTTGATAACTGTGTTATAAATAATGAAAACAAACAAAAACAAAAAAAAAGGGAAGAATAAAAGCCTTCAACAAGACAATTTTTTAAAGCCTGCTTCTTCGAACTCAGCAATGTCCTTTCTATCGTATCGAATGTTGTAGATATTATCATACTTGTAATTTATTCAATTGAGGACGGGCGCGCTATTTCGCCTGGATTTTTGTCCTTTTTTTTTTAACCAAATAGTTGTTAACGTCTCAAGTTAATACAGGCATGTAACGTCGCTCGTTTCGAAATGATGATATTGTGTACAAGGTTATTAAAGTCTGCCAAAATAATGTGAAACCACACTAAATCTAAATAAAAGACGTGCCTCTACAAATAAAAAAAAAAAAAGAAATACCAGTGATGGCTGATGGTCTTCGACTACTGCTACCCTTTGAGCAGCGGATGTTATTAGGTTGTGGCTCTAAATGTTGCCAAATTTTTTTCCATAAAATTCTATACTCAATAACATCAAAAAACAATCTGTAAATATCTAAATTCGATTACAATGAGCATCGCGCAATAAAAAGTGAATCTTGTTGGAATTACGAAAACAAAAAAAAGAAAACAGTAAGTGTTAAGGTTGATGGGTAATAGGTTTAAACTAATTAAGTTAATTTACTTATTTCGTTACTTAGCTCGTACATTTTTAGTCCGTTCTAGTATTAGGTAGGACTTGTTGTAGTTGTGTTTATGTCACAACGTGCAATATTTTTGTTCTCCTCTTTATTTTTTTTAAGTATTAATTAATTATTCACGCCGTACGCTTCGTGTTGACTAGTTTTTATTACTATTACTTTTTCGTTTGTTGGATATAGTTCTCGTCGCTACTACCAAATTTTTCGACTTTATACTAACTACATTTTTGATTTCTTGCCATCTATTTTTTTTTAATTCAGTCAAAAACTTGTCAGTAAAATACCAAAGACGATAGTGTCATATAACTAACTTTTTGCAAGAGAATCCCGCCAAATTCTTCCATCTAAGGTTGTGATAGGTTTACAGTAGTACTTAGTTTTCTTTTTTTTTTCCTCTCTTTAAAGAACCGTTTGATGCAATGCAAATTAAATTTAATTAATCACATAAAGTACCGTGTAGTATGCTGTATTTCTATGTTTAAACTCTTTAAATCTAAATAAAAGTCCGGTGAGTGCTTTTCGTCTGTGAAACACGTGTATACGTTCAAAAATTAAAAATTGCGCGCATTTTCTCCTTTCCCATTTTTTGTTTTGACAGTTGCATTATTACTAATGAAACGCGTCTGTGCTGTGTACATAATTTGTGTGTTCACTGATGTAGCACAAACACAAGTGCCTATTATTGTGCAATTAATAAATAATTTAAGGGCCTGACTTTTAGACAGGGTTAATAAATTAGATCGGGTGCATTTATGCTGCTATTCTTCCCCAAGTAAAATGACTTGTATAAATATTATCAAAAAAAAAAAATATGATTTTTCTACAATAAATCAATAAATAAATATTTATAATGATTTTAATGACGATGCATAAGAAAGCGATCAAGTTACAGTTAAAATTTTAAATAAGGTGTTTTTGATTGTTGAACTGATAAAAAACAGTCATATCTCCCTTCTCACCTCGAGTCTTTTTTGCTTTGTGTAAGTTTTTTTTAATTATTTTTTTTACATTTCAATATAATGTTGAGCCAGGGGTCAGTTTGGAGATGTAAGGACCTTAATTTAGTTTGTCGATAGATCTCGATGGAGATTATGCTAGCTGGTACTGCCAACTGTAAAAAGATAATGAACTTATGTATGTCTAATATTTAAATAAAAAATATCAAGTAGGTTAATGTAAAATATTGTGGTACAGTTCATGTTTTTTTTTTTAGGTTTATGCAAAGTATGAAATAAGCGGGTAAAGTTCAATAGGAACAGTTAAACTATTAATTGCTTACATTTACGTGTTAATTTGAGTGGCGACACTCCTATTGTCTTTTTGAAAAATCTATCACTGTCGTCGCTTATTTCGTATTTTGTTGTCCCCTTTTTTGCTACTAACATTCGATGGGATACGTTCCCATTCAGCAAAACGCCTGGAAGTTAGAGTAGTCGTGAATGTGGGGTCCGAAAGTTTGTTAGGCCCGCTGTCTCAGGTTTTTAGAATATTCAGTGTCTTGGCTTTAAGTCGTAATAATGTTACGAATGTCTATTGTCTAGTGTAGTGGAAATTACTAATTTAACATTCCTTAAATTTCTTTACGTGTTCCTGATTGTCGTGTGGTATTTTTGCATATAATATAATAATAATATTAATGATGATTGATTATGATATGATGGTTTTATTGCACTTTTTGTAGGTAGGTAGGTAATGATTTTGGTAGATTTCTGAATTATTGTTTAGATAACGAGTCGTGATTTAATTTAAAAAGTTGTATTTTTTTATTGTTACTTTTATAAAGAGTGTCTAGTTGAAGATTGTTTTGTCTCTTCCGATCTTTACATACAACACTTACGACTAGATAAGTACACATTAAAAGCAGTTGACCTAATTATATCGTACCTTCATTTTTGATTAGAAATTGTTCAATGATAATAATTGTTGTAAACAAGGACAGCAGGTGTAAACTATCTAAAAATTATTTTTTAAGAAACAGTTTTACGAATAGCGTCAGTTTCTTTTGTAGATAACTAAAAATAAATGTAATCAATTAACCAACCATTAACTTCAGAATATACCGCACTTTGCCTTCTCCATTATAAAATAGAGTGAGAAAGTTCTTTTTGTAAAAAAAAAAAAACAACCCATTCTAGTATGTAATTTTACACATATAAGCCTTGCTGAGGGCACGAATGAAGACTAGGGGGATACCAGGGGTTGAAAATTGTTTTGCGACAAAGGACTAACTAACTACTTTATGTGCCACTTGTCGCGGGCAATTTTTAACGATTGCACGAAACCTTGTACAGAAACATAGGTCCATTCTAAGAAGGTGCTATTAAATTTTAGATTTAGCTAGTTTGCAAACAAAAATTTTAATAACAAAATAGCCGTTGTTCACTACAAATAACACAATTAGCTGCAGGCTGTTTTCCATTGCGATAATTTTTACACGGGATGACCGGAACGGAAAAAAAAATTATTGCATATTATTGTATGTGTGTAGTACGCTTGGAGGATTGTATGTTAATTAATTCAATTAATAACATAGTATGTTGCAAACGTTTAAAAGATCGATTTTTTTGTCGCTAGCGTAGTCACGCTGTATTTTCTTCATGTATTTAAAAATTTGTATTTTTTCAGTATTATAACGAGGAGTTTTTTGGTTTGTTTTTGTAACGTGATTAAACCTCCTTCTCTCTATCTCTCTCAAAAAAAAAAAAAAAACACACACACACACACAATAACGATGTTTAATATGTGTTACTGTTTAATAGGTGTTGCGTTGTTTTTGTTTCAAAATTATACCTTTTACAAATGATAGTAGCAATCATAATGCATAATAGCACTGTTAGTTTTTAAGTATTGTACTTTTCACGTGCCAAACCAAAATTTCTCAAGAATTTGCTCACTGCGTTTTACAGTTGAAAAACTGTACATCGCGAACGCTTACATGCTGTGTTTTTAATGTTACTACTAATGCAATATATGTGTATATTGGCAAAATACAAAAAAATCTGTACAATTGTTATTATTTCATAAATATATTGAACATACTTAAAAAAACGTAGGTTAAGCGGCAAGTAAATAGTAGGTTTGTATATTAGTAAAATTATTATAAAAACAAAAAAAATAAATCGTACCAACAAGATTCACTTGTCCTGCATGACGACGGAAAAAATGACGAACATGGTAAAAAAGAATACTGAGTATAAACGAAATATATAGTCATTATTTAAAAGCTTAGATTCGATTAATACACTTGCTTTTCTAGTTAGTTGTAGGGTGGTTTTGGGTTTTAAGATTATAAGTTAACGTAAGTGTGTTCAGTTTTTAAGTTCTTTTACCTTTTTCCAAAATGTTAATTTTGCCTAACAATTCTCTCCCACGGTTCGTGGGTGATTGGCCCAAGTTTTGCAATAAAATTTGGACTACAGGCAGCTTGCAGCTTTTTCATAAACTAATCGTAAATAACCAATTGTTAATGTACACAGGGTTTTGCGAGTACAATTAAACAAAAAACTGTATCAACATAATAGACTAGCCGAATGCAAGAGTACGAACAAGTATATAATTAATTAAAAAAAGGCCTTCTAAAAGTCTCTGAAACATCTAGTCATTTAAAATTACTTTATTATCTACCCTTGCTGTTTTAATATACCTCCTTCTTTCAAATTTTTGTGTTGGAGTATATAAAATAAAAAATTGCAAAACTTGCGGTTTTTGTAATAGTCTGTTACCAAATAATCGACATCACAAAGGTTATTAGTATTTCAGGTTTGTGTGTTATAATTTTTTTTATGAATATTATTAACTGTGTATTTTCTTTTATTAAGTAAAATGTGTAAAAATGCCAATGGCCTAAACAGTTCCCTCCTGAATCTAGTCCAATTGTTGCCTGAATTTTTCAATTTAGCGTTTTTAATTTGATATATTACGTTGTTGAAGGTGTTGCAGAAGCTATAGTTAAATTAAAAAAAAAAAAAAAGAAAATTAGTATCCAAAATTATGTAGATGTGTGTTGATTGCGAAATTAAACGATAAGAAACCATTCATCATTTACTATTTTCGATCTCATAATTAATAAATAAATAAATAATTTAGTGTCATACTCAACAAACAACTACCGATATTAAAAACGTATCCCATATTTTGTTTAATAATAATAATAATAGTCATCAATATGAACAGCGGACTAATGAATGCAAGAAAAATTAACAATACCGTATTGAATATGAAATAATGGACAGAAACACGTAGATGTGCAACAGGAAATTCTAAACATACGATAAATACACACAACACCTGCATTCCCATCTAATTAAACAATTAAAATCAAGTGTACACATACGAACATTTATAATAATACCGCACGCGAAAAGTGGATGGGCACCTAATAATAATAATAATAATAATAATAATCATTATAATACGAATAATTAATTATTGCCTCTTAGTTCTTTCTCAATAAATCTGCATAGCTTCGGTATTATTAAAACGGAGCGGAAAGTCGTGTTTCCTTTGGTCTGATCTGAAATTGTTTAATGAAAGCGAATCTCGAAACACGAAACGCGTTTATATCGCAGTTATATAAATAAATAAATACACACATAATAATAATAATAGGGGAGGGTATACTCAGGGGACCAGGCCAAATATCATGGTGATATCAAATAATTTAGACAAAATTAAATCAAATTTGATCTATGGATGTCTATTACTACTACTTTACTATTATTATTACTACTACTATTGCATCTGCTACTATTACATTACACTACTACTATTATACCCCAAATAACGTTAATAAATAAATATTACATTTCAATAAGGATTCAAAATATATGTCGCTAGTTAATAATCAGCAAAATACAAGAAAAAAAAGGTGTAACGATCTTTAAACGTAATCACAGTATAAACCAGCCCACGGCACTGTTCTAAGACCTTTTGTTACGTTTTGTTGCACGTAGAATTAATTAATCGTGCTTGTCTCCGGGATGAGTCTGAGCGGTGCAGTGCCGTTGGAAAGAACTTAATCTAGTTTAGGTAATGTAAGTGCTTTTGAATAACTGTGTAAGTTATCAATGATGTTCTGTACATGTAACCCAATTGACCAGTATGCATTCATTAATAAAGGTTGTCTTAAATGTAATATAATCGTTTTATTTCAATCCAACGTTGGTGTTTAGTTAATTTGAGTTTAAAACGATCCGAGTTGTATGCTTTTACTATTTGCCCGCCGCAGTTCCTGTAGTTATCATTTAAACATTAGGTTTTGCTCGTTCGTCGCTAGAGGGAGCACCTTACGAACGGTTTAAGTAGGCAGTTTGACTATATTCCTTTGCTATTTGCCGAAAGGTAACGACGTAGTTTCCTGTAATCGTAGTAAGAACACCACTCACATACGCTTTATTAGTTGGCCGACAGAGGGTGGACATTACAGCTTTACGAATTAAATTCATAAATTGCTGTTCGTTTTTAATCGTTTTCATTATAAAATTAATAGGCACAGCACTGTTTTTTTTTTATTCAATTGTCATTTCATAACAAATTTAAATAAAATATTATCGTACTGTATAGAGATAATAAATAATCGACGAAATAGACGAAAATTGCTTTTTTTATTACCTTATTATACGTGTTCCAACTTACTTCTAATAAGTACAACCGGATCTCTGGATAATTTCTGTTGCAGTCCGGATGCCACACTTCACGCAATCGTCATAATTTCGGCCTAGGACAAGTTGGGCAAGGAAACCACCTGCGAAGGCGTCCCCGGCTCCGTTAGTATCTACCACTTTCTCGGGAGGTAGCTGGATGGCCGGGAACTCTTTGACGGCCCCGTTTGATGCCATTATGACTGGATTTTCGCCTTGCGTTATTATGCAAACTCGCAACCGATTTTTATTGTGTTTCGGAAGATCACATATCATTAGCGCGATCTTTTTCAAGTCGTCGGTTCCAAAATTTTGTTCTTTGGCAAAGGTTGCTGCTTCCTAGAAAAACAACTGTTTTTAACGTAAAACAACCTAAAATACAATAATATATATTCTTTCTAAGCTGCATGTTTTATTTTTCTGGAATAGCCGATATGTAAATTTAAATTATTATTATTTTGTAATGATATTAAAAAAAGATAATGATTACCGCAATCACTTTTTCAAAAGTTACGTATACGTTTGTTTTGGTTCGTCTTTCTGCAAACATCTTACACAATTATTGAGTAAAAATATTACGGTAGCAGATAATCCCGACGACCTAATGCTTTTGTCATTTAAATAATGAAGACGTTCATAGGAAAATATTTCCTGATATACATTACAATGTGTTTTCGAATAATTACAAATACCTCTTTGGACAAATTTATAGGCAAAAAAATAGGGAAACTCACGGTTTCGTTTCCGAATAAAATGTCCACGTAGGGCATGGCATCCATTAAGGGTTTCATGTAAAATTGTGGGACAAAAGGAGCGCTCAAGTTCATCACGAACATGCGGTCATTTGCGAGGGCATGATTTGCCACCTCTTGCACTGTGGCTGGGTTAACTGTTAGAAAGAAGCCCTGCAATGAAGAACAAAGGAACATTTTTTTAATGAATTGTTAGTGTTAAAAACACGAAAATCATTTTAGAACAATTACACTGGAAAACAAAAGAAACTGGCGAAATTTTACGCTTACGAGACATTCTCTTAAATATTTTTAAACTGCATTTTTCAACATACAGTTCAAATCGAAATTATATTGATAAGAATAATCGTACGTTATTAACGAGAATGAATATCATTCTGACCATTTCAATTCCAAGGACAACTTGTTTAGTTACGTAAAATGTCACTAATTTTATTTAAAAATTACGAGGAGGATCGTAGAAAAATGCGACAGTACACAAACCACTTATAAAAATATCTACCAATAATTTAATCGGTATTACGTAATTTACTGTAATCTATTGTTTGTAATAAGTACATGATAATAAAAAAAAAGAAAAAATTTCTAGTAACAGACAATTTAATTGTAGGATTAACCTAAGAGAGGCTTATTTATTAAATGGGAATCGTGACAGATTCGCAAAATTTTGCTCATTTTAAGCAAACACATTTCACTTACCGAGATGTAGTAGAATTTTGCAATTTCAATATACTTCTTATTTTCGGGTTTATGTACATGTTCACTTGTAAAGTGATTGGCTGCAGCCAAATTAGCACATAATGACCTTTCTTTTCCTGTTATAAGGACCGCACATGTTCCTGTGGGTTCGTTATCACAGTATTGGTATTGAACATTAACACCGCATTCACGCGCTTTACGTTCCAAAATTTTCGAATAATCATCTTTACCTGATAACAGGAAAAAGTTGGAAGAATAGGGAATTAGAATTTTTGAAAACTGCAATTTTTAGCGAATACTCTGCATACCTACACAACCAAAGAAAGTTGTGATCTCCGGCTTCTCGAGGACCCATTGGGCCACCCTAAGGGCATTTTGTACACTTCCGCCAGCTGTGTATTCAGCTTTATAATTATTTATAAGTTCCTTGTAAAGTGTTTGGTGTTTGTCAGTAGCGAGGATAGCATCGTTGGGTTTCATTCCATACTTCTCAACGAAAGCCATGTCGACTACCGCACTGATATCGAGTAAGGGGTTTCCAATGCCCAGCAGTAAACCCTCTCTGTTATAAAAAAAAAATCTTCTGTTACGTTTGTTATTTTAATCAGACGTTAGGTGTTCGACACTTCTTGCTAAATAAAAGTATAGCAAATACATTTCCATAAGTTTACGGGATAGAATCTGTTAGGTATATAATGAGAGTAATAGTTACTTTTTTACAGTTACACTTACAGATTCACTGTAGTAGGAGCAGTACCTTTTGTGATTTAGTATTGTACGGACAGTTGAATGTGTTTATTAATTATAACTAATAGTTTCCTTAACAGGCGAATGAAATATTCAGATATTTATGATAATAATCAAATTATATTTATACTCACTGTATAAACTACTCACATTGAATAGAAGACAATATTTTATTAACTTAAATGTTTAGATTTTGTTTTTCTGGTGCAGTCTGTAGATAGTTTAAACGAATATTATAAAATATCTATCCCTATTATGCAAAAGCCACCAATAATAACTTTCTATAGAAACGAACAAGGTAATTTTGAGTTTATGAACCAAATTATAAACAATATTAATGGAAACAACAATTATTCACAACTTACTGAAAACAAAAATACAACATAATATAACCTAACAAAACTTACCTCAAGTCTTTTTCTACCATTTTCATTTATAATAATAATAAACTAAATGACGGACTACACTATTCCAATTGAGTACGATAAACGGTTTGTTATGCGTGTGATGACAACGTGATTTTTTTTACAAAAATTCAATTTATACAGAAATAACAGCACCTATTTACATAAGACGTGCCACGCGACAGAGACAGAAATGAGATTGATAAACGTTGCTTTAAAGAGAGGGGAGCTAGGCAATCATTGTCGAGAGAAATGGAAATAATTTGATATTCGATGACGGCGCCATCTATCAGCGCATAGCAAAACTAATGGAAATGAATACTATAACATTTATAGGAAATTAAACGCTCAAAACACTTTTAAGTATACTGTTTATTTCATTTCCTGTTTAAATATATCATTTAACATGTGTTTTCGTGCAAATATATTTACTCAAAATTTTTTAAATAAATTATTACATACACGCGCGTATATAGATTTGAAATCAGCAACAGATGGTGCCATTAGTTCCATATGGACTAGTGCCACGATACCTGGTGTTCGGGTTCGATTCCCGTTTTGGCAGTTATTTCGCTTTTTGCATAATAAATAATGCCCGAAAAGTTACGATAGCACTAAAACGATAAAGGTACCCTTAAGTGGATAAATTGACTAAAAATAAGTCGGAAATGCAAGTAAATTCTTGTGTGGGTATGTAATAAGCGCAGAAGTTAAACATCTTGGAAATTTTCAGAAAAACGGGTTTGAAGTCCCTAAGGAATGAACCTTTTGGTGATAATTAACACATTCATAAGTCCATTTACTGATAACTAGAGTAGCCGCCGACTGAGCTACATAATTTTATCAAAGTTCGAACATTTCGTTAAAATATTTCTTTAGAGTTCCGACGCTGACGCTGACGACGATCGTTGTCGACGTCGACGTCGAGACGCACATAACCTTGTAAAACTCGTAATTAGGATGTCGAGTGCAGAGAAATAAAAATTCCTACCCGCGCTCATCTCCGAGTATTAATTAATTTTTAATGTACTTCACATTTCCGTCTTGTCTCTAGTGCTTGCTGCTTGCTACCGCTGATGCCGCGAGAGCCTATGCTGTTGCTTGTTCTTTTATTTTTCTTTTTTGCCGCGTTTCTTTCGAAATGAAATTCTAATGAGATTTTAACAGAAATAATTTGTATTTTTAAATTACCATTCCTGGAACGTACCACCTATTCCATTCAAGACAAACAGAAAACAAAAGTAAGGAAACATCAAACAAAGAAAAGAAAAAGGAAAGACAGATCTCGAAGTAATTTTACAATCTCACTCATAGCACTCATTGTTGGCATTATATTGCAAATTGCGTTAAAATATAAAAGAAGACTGTGGCGATGTAAATAAATAATCAAATCAAGGGGACTTACTTGCGGACACATTTTCGATGCAAGAGCTTAAAACCATGGCGGGGCTTATTTTGGGGAAAATAACACAGGCATGTTTTATAAATAACAAATTAATAAATAAATGAAGAATTGTTATTAAAGAAAACGCACCGGTGAGATTATGCCATCTTATAGGAAAATCTATGACTTGTGAAGTAACTATAAAAAGTAACGTGTTAATGATTCTTAACAACAGCAAAAAAGTTACTCATTTACAAGTGTTCATGTGTATCTTTTAATTTGGATCCCTCCCACCTCTTGATGTGGCAGGACTTATCCTACTCTTGACGCAAGATTCACAAAAAAAAGTAGGAAAAACATCTGATAAACTTCACGTCAATTATTTATCTAAATGTAAGCGATGATAATACCTATGCAAATTGCTTAAAATGCTTGTGGTCGATAAGGCGTCGCTTTTCACTTTTCGTAAAGAAAGAAAATTGAAGAGAAGGAGGTCATGGTGAAGTTACGGGAAACTAATCAACGCGGGCAAACGTGCGGTAGGAAAATTAAATGTCTTGGTGGACACAGTAGGAGAGAGAGAAGGATGGATCGGTTTTGCGGTACCCTACATCTCCTTCTTCAACCCGCAACGCCGCGCCGTGCCTGTCGCCGGCCAAGTCACGCTGCCACCACACCACTCTGCCAGCAACAGTAGCACAAAGTTGTGGAATTCGGTTTGATCGTTGAAGTTTGAAAGCGAGAAATTAACGTGGACGAGGATCCCATTTGTCTTGGTTCGACGCCTGGCGACTTCCTCCACCTCCCCAATATATTCTTGTGTATCCTATCTCACCTATCTGCAGTAAGCAACCGTTTCTCTGCCCCTAACCTGGTCGTCTCTCCGTCCTGCACGTCCTTTCTGCTTCCTCTCAATATCCAGTTCCATTAGTCATTAGTCATTGAGTTGCGGTCGCATCCCAAAACAATGCAACGACAACAGCAACAAACACTGCGACTCTCGAAACACGTAGGTAGGTGAATATCGAAACCGACGGCTATGGTTCCGTACCTGTGCCTGTAATTGATTCTTGTGCCCCAAGATCTGATACATGTCTATATAGCCAAGGAATTTCATTACATTAAGGTTCATTGCAGTTCCAACTTTGATTGGATTGTGGTCGGACTGGTATTGGTTAAGTTAAGACTTGCTTAAGAGGCCGCTTCTGCCGTTCTGGCCCTCTAACCTCATTCACGTAACAGACAGATGTACGAATAGGTAGCCAGTATAACTAATAATATCGTTGCATACCTTTGAAGCTCGATTTGAGACTGTTGACTGTAAATACATTCAGATTGGTTACGGTGTATTGAATCGCTTCGAATTCAATAATTATAAAAAAATAGACGCAGACAACGCGAAGCTGAAGAAAGGAAAATGGATGATCACCATCAGAATATATTTAATCGGGACAGTGTGGATGGAGAATGAGGAGGGTGGCGAGTCAGGAAGTGGTCCGGAATCGGAAAGAATGCACCTCAGCACGGGACGGCTATTTTGCCCCGGCTAAATCCTCTTGCCGAAATTATTGTTGCCGTGTTTTAGGGAAGGGAATATTTTTTACGAGTTTATTCCCTTCTCATGCCTGTCAGACAGAAACGTAAACCGAATTCAGGCGGTTATTATTAAAGAAAAAGTCAACGTGGTGTCCGAACCTCCTGCTATGATTTGCCTACTAACGGAATGGGGATAAGAGCTTCTCTTTTGCATCAATACTGAGACACGTTTTGTTCTTTCATCATGTTTTGTTTGAAATGCACCACATTAAAAGGGAGAACAGTGGCATACCTAACTACAGGTATTTCCTTCAAACACGATACATGTTACCGACCATTAAGGCTCAAAGGATTCGCAATTTCCATTCGTCCCGTCTGGTAAAACAAAACAGCCGTCAACGAAGGCTTTGTTTTACACAAAAACGGGAAGGAAGACCGAATTCTTTGTTTTTCGGTCATGTAAGTGTAGGTACCTAGGTATATATCGTGCACCACCGCAGGGACGATAACTAATACTCACAACAATACGTCTAATCGTAAATAAACTGCCTGTGAAAATACTGTCTAAGCAACGTCTAATGGTAGGTAAGGTAGAAAATGTCATAGATATATAAAAAAAAAGTGACCGACCGACTGGGGGACAGATAGATTATGAAGCACCTCTTGACGGTTGCAGTGGCATTGTCGTCCCACAAAGACCGCCTCGATTCGTCGTCGTTATCTAATATTTGAAATCCTATTGAGGTTCGCTCGCTTCAAACGATGTCGGAGAAGCGAACCGTAAAAATAAAAGTCCCAAGAGCAGACGAAGAAGAACTTTTCTTCCTGTAGTCATAGTAGTCATCTCTCGGCGGCACCAACGACGACGGCGACGACGCGCCGCGGCGCATAACCTGAGCTTATTCGAAATGCTTAATTGAAGTAATTACAGGCCAAGTCCATCGCAATAAAATTCAAATTAAAGCGAAACAAACAGTAGAAAAAGAAGCAAACGTCGTCGTTTCTTTCATAACCCCTTAACTCTTGCCATTCCTACCATCATACCGCCACAATTTTCAACTTTTTCGTAGTAGTTACGGTTGTAAATTGGCGATTATTTGAAACCGTACCTGTATTATTCAACATCAGAATCTTATGGACTTACAAGTAGATAAGATACCTATAGGAATAGACGTACATCACATACGAGGATTCAGAGGGTAGGAGGGAGCGCGTAGAACAAACACATCAAGACAAAGATGCGAAACGACCATCGTCTGAAATTAGAAAGAATGCAAATGAGGTAAGAGAGTGAGTCTTTGCTTAATTCGCGCGCATTCTTCCGTTTCTTTCTTGTGTCCTTCTCTGCCCCTGACCCCCCTCGTCCAGATCCTACGTTACCCACCCCCGCCTGCTCCGCTGTTTGCTTGCTTGCTTGCTGCTTAGTTCTCACCCCCGCAACGTTCCTCCGTCGTCATCTGAGGCTCAAGTTTTTGCCACCGACTCACATGCGCAAATGAAATCGATTAAAATGCGAGTTGTGCTTTGAAGAAGAAGTATTAATGGCGAGGGATGGGGTGAGATATAGGGACTCGCCGCGAAGCTCTGCCGTTGGGCCGCGGGGGGGGGGGAGTAACGAACGCGAAGGAACGACTACTAGGAGGTGGAGGGAGTCAAGAGGGAAACTAAGAAAGTTGATTACACTCGCATACGTGTTCGTGCGGCGTGGACTGGCGTGCATAGGTGGAGGGAGGAGCGAAAAAAAGATAGGTAGTAAAAAGGGGGGTTTGTTGAATGAGTTAAGTGCTCATATGTCTTTTATGGGTCTCGCGTGTCTCAACGAGTAGGAGCGGGAGGTAGCAAAGGAATCACGAATCGCGAGGAGAAAGAAAATGTGCATTCCCCGACGAAGGCGCGTCGTTCAGGGGTGGACTCGATTGACGTATTTATCGTACGAGTGCATACACGTATCTAAGAGTACGTAAATTATTCAATTAATTACTATCAAATGTAGAGTACAAATTAAACATTTTCCCTTGCTATTACGATGTCCAAAAGTACATACCTCCTACCTACACCAGCTAAAAGATTCAACCAGTTTAATTATTCATCTACAGATATTTGTAGGTAACTTGGTTGTCATCGGGATATTTATTGTCAACTGAATCGGTTTCGGAGAAAATTATTCGGGACGTTCAAGAAAGTGTTTCTAAGTGGACTTTTTGTGCTGGTGGTCCATTATTTCTATTCAAAGCAGCCACAGCAGTTCCATTCCATTCAGACGTATTATCACTTTCATAGTTGAGA